AAATAATAAATGAAACTAATGTAACCCTTATATGTTTTGTATGAAATTACCTTTTATAACTTGTTATACAAAGGTACTGGGTTTAGAATTGAGTACTTTGGATCCTATGTGACCTAGGGTTAGGGCATGAGTTAGCAGGCACGAGATATGTCCTATTTGATGATCTACATAGTAATTAATTTTTATGTAATATATAATGATGAGCCTTTTGAGTAAAAGTACTTTAATTAGTTGATAATAAATAATATTTCAATCTTTAATTAATTTTAATTTTCAAGACTTATACTTTAATTTTATATTATAAACATGTCTATTATTTAATACTTAAATAGCGCAAATTAGGTTTAAAAAACACTATTTTTTAATATAAATTCTAAGATCTTCCCGTAAATACTTTAATTTTAAATAAAATTTTCTTTCTAGAGTATAGAAGATAAAAAGCGCTTTGAAAGATCTTATAGACACAAAAATGCTTTACTTATACCTTTTAGACGTTTATTTAAAGGTCTTCATTTAATAAGATAAGAGAATGGCTTTAATTTAAAATTATATATATTTTTGTTGCATTTTTTTTTTTTTATTAACAATAAAAACTTTTATTATTGTAGACTCTACTAATAACCGTGAAAGTGTTGTTTTATGCCTGAGTATATTGTAGAATGATAGTAATATGAAAGTATTTTTTAATCCTTATGCATTACACAAAAAAGAATATATATTACGTTTAATAATAACCAATATTATAAATTTATTCAGAAACTAATACAATTTTTATTAATTTTACAGAAATTAAAACAAGAAAATTTATTTATTATTTCTTCAATATTGTTTAATTCTATCATATGTCCAATCCGAAGAGATTTTCTCAAGTTCAGTCATTATTTCATTAATTACAGAAAGTAGTACAGTATCACTAAATTCGAATAGTCGAGAAAGAATTGTTTTTTCTTCATCTGTTGTTTTTCTCCGTTTTCGTTTTTGATAGTATTCAACATTAAGAATTTGCGTAGAGGAAGAAACTTGTGTAGAGGATGAAGCTTCAGAAGACTTCTTTAGCATTTCGAACAAAAGATCATGTGTTGAAGTTTTCTGTTGTATAGTTATGTTACTAATTTTGTTTTTTTCTTTCTTCATTGCATCAATTTTAGCATATGTATAGCGATCTACATTTCGGGCACCACGCCCATATTTTGGACGAGGCTCTGTTTGGTATACATCTTGTCTAAGAATTGCTTCAAGACATGATTTACCAGTTTCGTAACAGGTAAGAATTTTCTCAATATCCTTTTCATTTATTCCTGGTGCATATTCAAATATATCATGTATTGCTAAATCTGGGTTTTTAAATGCAAATATCAATTTTGCAGATAAAAACTGGACCAAATTATCTCGAGACTGGATTGAATGAGCATTTTGGTTTATTACTACATTACCTGTGTATTGTGAAATAATCTTTAACAAGCGTTCTCTTTCACTTTGTGCTGCTTTGATCTTTAGCATCATTTTTTCCTGGTCAATAAGATCTCCAGAAATATTTTCCTTAATATATTTTACACTGTAAATCTCAAGTGCTTCATCAATGCCTAGATAATGTCCTTCACATGTAAGATTTACTAAGCATACCATTTTCAACAATTTTTGTAGTTGTAGATCATCATGAACTTGTGCCAAAAAGTGCACAACAGCTTTTGCATACTTAGATTTACCCGCTACAGGAAAGAGAGGTGCAAAGGCAGCCAAGTTTGCCATTTGCATTTCGTAATTTCCTTTTCTGATTCCAATCTTATGCCCAATAAAATATCCTGCCCAGCGGAAGAAAAAATACCATACTTTCATTAGGTGATTATCTCCTTTTAAAATATCTTGTATTGAAATTTCTTGTTCTTTAACACATTGATATAAGGAAATTCCAACAGTAGTCCAAATCATTTCTAAAACATGATATGTTGCTCGGTAGTCTACTACGTGTTCAAATTTTTCCAAAAATCGTGCGCCGAAAGTAGCTGCAAGGTTAAATAGTCCATATCCAGAAAATATTGAAATTAATACGCTACACATATCCTTAGACGTATGCCATTGTCCTAAGATAAGCCGAATATCTGGATTTTTTTCTGCATATGAAATTAGACGTCCAAAATTGCTTGATCACATGCAACATAAAGATTATCATTGTCACCAATAGATAAATCCTCACGATACATTTCACACGAAGCATGGACGTTATCATCGCAGTTTGGTGCTTTTCCGAGTTCTAATATCATAATATTTGGTACTGGAACATTGCAACCTAAAGGTATTTGTTGTGTAATTTCCGAGAATATATTTTCTATATTAAATTTTCTATTACCAGTAAGTGTTTCTGATATTTTAGCTAAGGTAGTTTCATACAATGTTAGAAGATTATTTGTAATTATGGATTCTCCAAATTATGGCAAGTTAATAAGTCCATCGTCAGCAATATTATTGAGCATTGTAGGAAGCGTAAATTGAAAGACCATTCGCAATGTTGCATGTGAAGTTTGGTATGTAACATCAAAAATATTACCTGTTGCAAAAGTAGAGGCTTTAAAATCAATATTATCAATAACTGCTAAATTCCAGATATTTGCTCCTTTAATTAGCCTTTCTATAGGATTTGTATGAAGCATTCGAAATTTTTCAAGCCTATTTTCGTGTCACTTTGTATATGATATGACATATGCAGAATGGAGAATTTCACGCAAGTATAGTAATAATTTTGGTTTTTTACATAATGATGATATAACACAAGAAAGCCAGATTTTCATTCCAGGAAAAGCCATGGTCAACAACATAGAGGTAAAAAAGGCAGTAATTTTTGTTATTTTATTTGTATCTAGTGATTTCAAAGAAAATTTACGCTGTTTTCTTTTATTGTTAATAATCGATAATTTTTTTTGTTGTATTTTCGTAATTAGAGCTTGAAAGAAGTGGCAGGCGATATTTGGCAACGCATTGAAATATTCCTCATACGAATTTGGATTTTCCAACTGGGTTGCTTTTTGTTTAATCTCGGAATATGAAGATAAAACCTCATTTTCTATTTTCTCTCCCATGGATGTTGCATTTTCTGGACTAAGTCTAGCAGATGTTAATTTACTAGAATTGAATTTTAATTTTAGTGCAGCTTTAATGAGAAAACTGCTAGGAAGTTCAGGTTGTATTTTTAGTGAGTTTTTACTATCATTATTTAAAATTTTAAGAGTTGGTGTTAATAATGAAAGAAGACTTTTTTTTAACTTCTGATCGTGCGATTCTCCAACTAATATTATCCAATTTCTGATATCTATCAAAGCTTTACTTGTGTCATCTTTATGTTTTTCAAGCTCAGCACAGGAAACGAATTTATAACCTTTACCCGGGTTTTCATAAAAGTGACCACCTTGTAGATGGAAACATTCTGAACAAACATAACGTGCACGATAACCTGAAGTTGATTTCTTTGAAATAGATCCCTCAGTGATAGCAGGACACTTAAAAACACCAACACAAGGCACTTAAATATTACACTCGTTAATATGCCACGAATGTTCATTACACCACTACCCCGACTAAAAAAGCACTTTTTTTTGTTGCAAAAAATGCAAATGCAGAAGTGAATGGTGCTCTGTTCAATTGAACATGATTGTTTTGCGCCTTCATTATAAAGCTTATTTTGATCAAATAAAAAGTGCGGGTAACATACACCAAGCTGACAAAATTCCTTATTAACAATTTCTTTAATAGCATTTCCGTCTATTTCCTAGGTTCCTACCAGCTGCTCTAAGCGCCTTAATTTTTCTATACTGTTGCAGCGTCTTATTATTTTTCCGGAACTGTTGAGGACCACACACAATATTAATTTGGAAATTGGCTTCTCGATTATTTTAATTACTTCATCAGTCTCATCATGTGTGAAAATAAAATCGCTAATTATAATTTTATTTTTTATTTTATTAGGCTTTAGATCCATTCTGGAAAACTAATTGGATTGAACGGATAGCGATTTTATGCACAAGTTTAAGACGAATATTATATCTCCCAAATTCAAAAAATAAGATCAGGAAAGTTTAATGAACCTATTAACATTATTTCAGAGTCGAACCCCAATATTCAAATCAGCAGAATTTTAGAGCAATATGGTTTAGACGTTTTTAACTAATGAATAGTAGTAGCATGTAAAATGTATATTATTTACTTTGGCAACTTGGTTGAAAATATTAAATACAATAGTTGGGCGTTAAATATATTTATTGCATTGGATGTAATATACGAATAGTTGAAAAATAATAAAACGAATGTTATTTATTAATGAGAATGTGTTTCTAATAAAATGTATTATTTTTAATAAAATTTAATATTTAACATTTATAATTCAACAATATAAAAAAATTTAATAATTTATTTATTTCATTATATTGATAATACATTGGAGAAAGGGGTACAAGGAGGGAAGGAGAAAAATTAAACATGAATATGAATAAATATAATATTGTATCAAATGGTTGATTTTAATTCTGATTTTTCTAATCTAGCAAGAAATCTACAAAAATGTAAAAACCATTTGTTCCTAATTCGCTATTTGATGACTAGATTCTAGTAGTGATTGAGAATCTAATACACAAGTTAGAATTAAGTGCTGCTAAAGAAAAAAAAACATACTTAGGCTATCACCACACTAAACTTAACTTGTATTGGAACGAGTATACGAACAACGACCAGCATTCCAGCTATTCGGGAACTATTAGAAAGAATAATTTATGTAAAAACATAATTCTTCTGGGACACTAGTAAATTTAAAAAATTCTCTATGTTGAATAGCACGATTCGAATACCACTCAAAACTGCCATTGAACATGGAGAATTTTTTAAACTTTACCAGTGGGAATAAGTTATATGTGGTGATAATATTTACTTGCAGGCTTTCCCTTGGCAACTTTCATTTATTGAATAGGTCGTCTGACGGGTTCTTTGTCCAGGATTATTGGTTTGTCGCTTCCCTTAAATCCAAAATATTTTAATAAATCTTGAGTAATGTAGCAACAAAAATTATTCTCTAGCACCTGACTCAATAATAATAATAAATTATTTAGTAACCGCTAACAACAGTATTGAGAATTGCTTGAGAATACTCTAAGTATATGTCTACACATATAAACTCAAAAATATGTTATCTGGATCTAAAGCCTAAGTTGATTTCTTTTTAATTCACCATGATCGGTTAAAAAAAACTTTCGTTTACTTTATTTATTCTGATCTTTAAAAAGTAGACAAAAGTTTAGAGCAATTTTGAAGTTTTTATCTGTGAAGTTAATTCTTCTTCGAAGCTCAAGTCTTCGTGTTCGATCTCATCCTAGTCTACATCGTCATGATTCATAGAGGGTAAGTTACTTATAATAGAATGTTGATTAAAAAAAATATTTTCAGCTTCAATATCGTCGTCATCGTCTGAAAAACTGTTATTGAAAGTGCTGTTGTCTTCAAAATCAAATTCAAAATCACTCATTTCGCCTGTAATTATAAACTGCAGGGGTTAATATACTTTAACTTTAACGGAAGATCCTCCTCAAACTAAAAAAAAGTAAAGCACGAAGCTTTTGCGATTTGATAAAGAAATAATACGGAATCATTTTTGTATTAAAGTGTGATGCATCTATAGTTTCACAAATATGGAGTTGTCATAGAGAAAACTATTGTAAAAGCAAATATTTTCATATAAAAATTAACTGATCGACATTTTAATTTTCATATGAACAACATTTTGAACCCCTGTACAAGGATATGTCCCATGCTTGTTAGCAGTTTGTTACATATATATTATTACTATTTATAGTTATTTAGTTAGTTAACTTATCTTTATTCTAATAATTTATACATATAAATTATCTATAAAAGCACTACCTTTCTGCCTTTCTAGCAAAGCAGTCTTGTCTTCATACAATTCTCAATAAAGATATAATACTTAGTATCTTCATATACTATTTATTATTTGCCTCTTAGCTCTAACATAAATCACTACAAAAACCTCTTTGTTAAGTCTTAATTCTAGACACCATATAACAAGCTGTAAAGTTATAGTCTTCATACTATAATTAGCAGTCTCTGGAAACTCTAGAAGAGGTGAATTCTCTATTTGACAACATTTATCAAAGGTAAGATTTCTTGCATTTCTTTCTTGATCAAATACTTCTTTTAAAGTGGGCCTAGGTGGTTGAGCTAATATCTGAATATTGAATTTGACCAGATCCTGTAGAATTTGAAATTTGATGATCGTATAGAAAATGATGATATCTCGCTTTGTTGATCTGACCCTCTTCTATTCATGCTTTGAATGAGAGAATATCATTCTGAATTCATTAACAATTTGATTAAAATTATTATGATAGGTTTCTAAAACCTGTTTGATTTCATTATATTTTTATAAACAACATTGATCATGATATTCTGTACTTCTGTTTTATAATTAATATCATAGGAATTTTCTTTAGCAATAGTAGTGTTTATCTTGGTATCACGAGAGTTTGATTCATTAGCAATTTTATTTCTAATATTATACAAAAATAATCTTATAGTAATATTCTCTACATATAAGTAGATATTTTTAGAGAATATAATTGTGATGAATTGAAACAAAGCAGGAAAAACTATAAAAGACATATTTTCCAAGGTATTGAATGGATGCATCTATGCAAAAATGATCAGATTAGAGAATTGTCTGTGAGAATTTAATCAAAACTAAGTATTTTTATTTTTAATGAGTTTGATTTTATAATTTTTATTAATTAAATTGTAATATATTATTTTTTTACTTTTGTAGTAAAAATTCTTTTGAGAATGTAGGTCCTGAATCTAAAAGATATGATAATATGTAGTCTGTATAATGAATATAGGTGCAGACTTATGATATCACCTAGTTACGTCCTATATAAAAAATCAGTTTATAAAATAAGATACAATTAACCTATAACTAATGATATAAATAAGTCTGCATCTATAGTAATGAAGATAAGGTGTAATTTTTATGTAATGTAGAGATCCGGTTAATAATTAGATTTTCATATAATTATTAACCTACTTATTGTATGATTAAGAATCCAAAATTGGACTCAGCATAGGACTTATTATCTTATGCTGATTAATTTATTAATTCAAGATATATATCATTATTGTATATAACTTTCTAAGATCACTTGATCTCACTAGAGATCGTATATAACTTTCAGAGTAAGTGCAGATAACTTTTACTGATATGAACAAGAAAAATATCTAATACTAACAGAATAAAAATATAGCTTAATAATAAGGCCACACAAACTTATATAGTTGATTTTCATATCATTAACTAGTGTTTAGTCACATGGCTGCATAGCTTTTTTTTTTTTGTAAAAATTTTTTTCTAAAAAAAAATTTATTTAACTTTTTATTCTTTCACAACCTGGGATCAGTCTCCACTACACAGACTACAATAACATGCAGTATACTCTAATAACTTAATAAACATTACTTTTATTTAAATACAATACAGTATATTTACAGTTCAAGATTTAAAAATATCTTTAGTTGTTAACAATAGTCAGAGTGTCAGAATAGCAAATTTCTATTGGTCAATTATAATATATATATATATATATAAAAATTTACAAACCCTGCCTTACTGACTCAGCTAGGATATGAAAATCAATTATATAAATTTGTGAAGCCTAATGGATTTGCTAAAAAAATTTTGTTTAAAACATATGGTCTATTCGATATTGATCTCAATTAATAACAATTTATTTTCAATATAAGTTAATTCTGCATTTAAATATTTATTATGAAAAAAAAAAATCTTTAATATAGAGTTGAGTCAATAGACATCAAGAAAATTATTTTAAGTAAATTTTTTTGAAACTTTAACTAACAATAGCTTAAGCAAAAACTTTATCAAAATTAATAAAAATTTTTTTAAAATAAATATTACAAATTGTAGAATTTATTTAAAAAATTTTTATTAAATTTG